GAGTTGCGTATCCGGTCCTTAATGACTTACTTTTCAATTATCAAGGATGGACATTTTTTACGGTAAAATGACTAGAGATCTTTTTGAAACCAATAACATAGGAATTTATAGGAAATCCTTACCAGCGTGGCTCTACGAATGTTGGTCATTTATATCCTATACTTCCTTCTTTTCGTACGATCCTATCAATAAAGGAACTAGTAAAATAAAACCTACACATGTATACTTGCGTTTTCTGAGGAGTCCAAGCATACATTGTTAGTAAGTAATGTGAGAAGAGATTCGATAGCAGCATAACGTGCCTCTTTTTCACGAGTACCTATCACGTCAAACGTCACAACCGACGATCTAGTAACATTCCAAAATTTCCCATACTGACAAGTGACACACAATTCTGACGGATCCACGCTAGATCTGTAGGCAAATTAGTATTTTGTTGCGGTGTTTTGTACGCTATGATTCATACTACCTAACGTCAAGACAAGAAAAAACGTCAAAAGCAAAATGTCTGCTTATGACTATGTTTGGAATAAACAGCTCTGAATATGGTCTTGAGTTTTACCCGAATCATTATTGCCAACAAGCTTTAAGACAAAGGTGTGATAAAATAACAAAATATCCGATTCGGACAACGTGATGAAGGCTGCCTGGAATGTGATTACAGACATAAATGGAAGAAATAGGTTATCAAAAACATTGTACTGTATGATAGTGGGTTAACCATTAGAAATCCACAAAAAAAATCTAATTATTTTGACAACTATTTTAAGCAGGCTTCTTGGGATATCATTCAAAAAATATCTAAGGACAGTCATCCAGTTCCAAGTGATCATACCTGCGACCAAAAATCTGTTATGTTTCTATACGCGTTCTTGAAAGAAGAATTCTATAAATTAATTAGTGACAAGTTAAAAAACAAGCGTTCTTTAGGCACCGATGAAGTTCAGAATTTCTTAATTCTTAACCTGTCAATCAGTCTCAAATTTGTTGTACCGTCCTTTGATAGATGGCACCACACGATGATAACATTAACTTCTATCAGGAACGCCCTCTGTAGTCAAACACGATTACTTATTGATCCGCCCACGTACAATTTTTACGCAATATGATTAGATCAAAACCTAATGGATACTCGTGAAAAGACCATCGACAGCTCACTCGCAATACTGTGTAAAACTGAATATACATCGTATCCCTCTAATGACACTCCTTATCACACAGACTTCAACATCGGAACAGGCATGGCAAACTGAGTTGAAGGAAACCTAAGGCGTAATAGTAAGTCCGCCATTTTGTCCCTAGGCCCTTCCGCGGGTCAGTAGTGTGCACTGGAAGGTTCACCTAGCCAGGAATCCGGGCTAGGAGGGAAATCGGGGTAGCCCCTGGGACTGCTGTCGTTGCTGATGTCGGTGTCGGCGCCTGGGGGCATGTTGTGCGGTAGGGGCATGCCTGGTGGAGGTCCCTGACCTGGAAAGTGTTAAAAGTATTGTAGGATTAAAACACAAAAAGAAATGCAGTAATTTATTTAACTTGATAAAACATTTATATACACTACTATTTATGTCTGACTAATTCTTATGTCCTCTTTGACTGCACTATATTCCTCTCCGCTCTGCTACTCTACCGCATTCAGTACGCTGCTTCCATCTCCCGGCCGCCGAGTTATATAAGCCCCGTTGCTGCTTCGAGAAAGGTCTGGCGAGCCACAAAGCGGCATTTAGAATATTGGAGGTCACTTCACGTCGATCTAGAAGGCGATTCAGTGTCACAGTCCTCACAGACGCCGCCAAGCAGAGTTATCAGCATAAGAGTCGAAAAAACAGTTTCTGCAGCGATGGCTGAAAAGCTAGCTTGTCATTTCGATGCGATCAACCATTCATTACCCACGGTAAAAGTCTAGCAAACAAGGTTTCCATATTTTTTTCAGGCACAAGCCGTTTTTTATTTGGAAAAAAATTCACCATTAGAAACGTTGATCTTTAAGCTATTTCTCTGCAGAGTCGCCATTTTTTGGTGCTCCTTGCAATAGGCGTTTCTTGTTGGGATCGCTAGTGCGGAAGCCGACGGTGTAGCCAGATTTCGCCTAGCATCACGCGCGGCAAAGTTACCGCGTTTGGAAACCATAATTTTGAAACAACTCTCGTATTTGTTGTAGATAGATTAAGAAGCTTCATACTTTTGCTTGCCCTGTACCTATTAAATCAGGCAAACCACTTGATACTGGTTATACTGGCTACTTACCTAAGCTGGCGTAGACCGACAGCTGGTCCGGATAAGGTGTGAAGTGGTCATGACCATGTGGTGGCGTATGACCAGGAAGGTAAGACGGTGACGTAGCCCCATGGAGAAACGACGGTCTACCGATGCCGCTATGGGGCGAAGACCCATCTTGGTCCATACCCATGTTCGCCACGGTGCCATAACTGTCGTCGCTGAGATCTGGAAAAACATGTAATTATTAGCTTACAGAGAAATCCATTATACCACTGACGTCGTAATGTGTACGTAGAGAGAGAAGCGCGTGAGGCGTGCAATACGTATGTTAGAAAGAGATAGAAGAACCACGTCATCTAGCAACCCGAGAAACGGGCCACGGAGGCAGCGGTCATGACCAATGCCATGGTCAAGGTCATGGTCATGATCAAGGTCATCGTTAGTCTATAAAATTTCTTCCTCTGCAATTTTGGCATAATAGTCAAGAGGTTGCCTTACAAATAACATTCCAGCTCAGAATGACCTTGACTTTGAGGACAAGGTCACATTTCGCTGATAAATCCAATGATTTTTTTTATTCCTATATAAAAATGAGGAGTTCCCTTTGAAAATTTTGATTTGACCTCAAAGACAATACTCAAGGTCATTGTCAAGTTCGTGGTCAAGGTGATGCTCAAGGTCAATTGCATGCTCAAGGTCATGGTCAAGGTCATCGTTGAGCAACCTCCACAAACCTTACAACTGTGATGTGTGCTGTCGGGCATTTTTTCTACAGCAAATTGTTTTCAATGCCGTGATCTGACCTGGATATGACCTTGAAGGTAATAGTCTAAGTCGTAGGCAGTCATTTTTGAAGGAAAAACTTCCAAACTTTCCAATTCCGGTGTAACAGAGATAAACTTCTATTTGAAAGAATCATTTTACCTTGAAGAATATTGTGATAGAGTCATAGGCAAGGTCATCGCTGGGTGACCTCCATAAGTCTTACAACTGTGCTATCGGGCATTTTTACTAGAGCAAATTGTTTTCGATGTGATTTGTCCTAGATATGACCTTGAAGGTTATAGTCCTGGTCGTAAGCACATTGTTTTCAATGTCGTGATCTGACCTGGATATGACCTTGAAGCTAATAGTCTAAGTCGTAGGCAGTCATTTTTGAAGAAAAAATGTCTGACCTTTCCAATTCCGGAGTAAAAGAGAAAAATTTCCATTTGAAAAAAATTTCGTGACCTTGAATTCCGTGGACAAGGTCATGGACAAGGTCATCGCTGGGTGACCTCCTCAAACGTTACAAGTGTTCTGTGTACTGTCCATCATTTTTGCTAGAGCAAATTGTATTCACTGTCGTGATCTGACCTGGATATGACCTTGAAGCTAATAGTCTAGGTCGTAGGAAGTCATTTTTGAAGAAAACATGTCTGATCTTCCCAATTCCGGAGTAAAAGAGGAATTTCCATTTGAAAAAATAACGTGACATTGAATTCCGTGGACAAGGTTATTTACAAGGTCGTCGCTGGGTGACTTCCACAAACCTTACAAGTGTGCTGTGTACTGTCCAGCATTGTTGCTAGAGCAAATTGTTTTCAATATCGTTATTTGACCTTGATATGGCCTTAAAGGTCATAGTCCTGATCGTAGGCAAAGTCATATTCGAACGTAAAATTTTCCATCTTTCAAGTTGCTATGTAAGAACGAAAAAGTTCCATTTGAAAAAATCACTTGACCTTGAAGGCCGTGGCCAAGGTCATGGACAAGGTCATAGCTGGGCGACCTCCACAAACCTTACAAGTGTGCTGTGTACTGTCGGGCATTTTTGTTAGACAAAATTGTTTTCGATGTCGTGATTTGACCTGGATATGACCTTGCAGGTCATAGTCCTGGTCGTAGGCAGTCATATTCAAACGTGAAATATTCCATCTTAAAAACTTCGGTGTATGGGAGGAACACTTCCTTTTGAAAAAATTCACTTCGCTGGGTGACCTATACAGATCTTACAACTGTGTTGTGTGCTGTTGAGCATTTTTGCTAAAGCAAGAAGAAAAATCACTTGACCTTGAAGGTCGTGGTCCAGATAATAATCAAGGTCACGCTCATTTTGTCCCCTCAAAACCCCACATCTTTTGTATGAAACCTGTTCTCTTACAATGTGTAGTTTTCGAATTATTCAGGTGGCAGGTTAAAATGGAACACCTGGTTTAATTCTCTAGATTTAGATACTATCTCTGTGGATAAAAATAAGCTGATAGATAATCTACTTTGTTTTTTGATACAGTAGAGAAACATTGTACTTACCATGGTGACTAAAGCTATCTAGGTCGACTTTCATTTCGTCCTTATCTAATAGTTTATCGTGCCTAGGTGACGATCCTCCTTTCATAGACCTAAAGTATTGGCTCCATCTCGTTCTACCCGCATCTTTCTTTAGCCTTTTTTCTTTTGCTCTCCTGCAACAATAATCCACAATTTTCAAAATTGAAGGTCGCTTAACCTACAAAAGGTTTGTTATAGAAAGAGATGCTGTGCAATGTGAATTAACCACGAAACCAAATTCAGATGGCCTGGAATACAACAAGAATAAGAGAGCTTCAACACATTATTAACATGAAGGTGGGATATCTCAACTATTTTGCAAAATTTCGAGTTTTAAATTACAGTACTCCTAGTCGGTGTTGTATTTTCTACGACATTTAGTATATATTCCTTCTTCTCCAGTAAAAAAGTTTATCGACTCAAAATCCATTGATCGAATTAGACAATGCCTTATCAAACACAACTCTATTGTCGACTTACCTATTTTGAAACCATACTTGTACAACCCGCATATCCAAACCGGTATCTTGACTGAGTTGTTCTCTAACGTGTCTAGCTGGTTTTGGACTGTTGTTGTACGCGTTTTTCAAAGTTTCTAACTGCTTGGCTGTTATTGTCGTTCTCGGCCTCTTGTTTGGTTGGTCTCCGTCCAAACACTCCGCAGCTATAGCAGACATTATCTTGAGCAGATGAGATATGCAGAATGGGATCAGGAATATTAAGAGCAGGGTCAATAGGTAAAATACGAAACGAGTCGATGCCCGGAACTTCAAATTATGGCGAAAGTGCTGGTATAAAACTGATGGTTACATTCACCAAAATTTAAAATTGAAAAACGAAAGTCGTCAGCACGTTGCCTAGCAACGATGACGCAGAAGGTCGTGCAATCTGACGCGTTGCAAATATGTTACACCAGAAAGACAGTCAAATCTAAGAAGAAGATCTGTTCGGATATTTAATTTAATATTTTGTTTTCATTTTAATTGAAATTGCTTATTTCAATTTGTATGCGACTTGGTGATAAAATCGACATATCCTGAGTTATTGTTACATTTTGCGACAGTGAGCGGTGGAATGATCATGGAGGTGGAAACCTTGCCTTAGAATGTACGATTCGATATAATCCACAATTCAAAAATGCATACGCTCAAAATAAAACCATTATTTGGGCGTAGAGAACAAACTTACGCATATTTTCAACATCTTAATTCACGAAACTAGTGTAACAGATTAGCAACGCGGCAGATTGTAGCGTCAGAGTTGCTAGGCAACGCGGAGATGAGCATCGCTATCCAGCCGGCTTCTATCTCTTTCTAACATATGTGTCTATATACACTTTTCTCTCATACACATTGAACTCAAGCTGTCATACAAATTCGGTTCTCAGTGTAGAAGCACAAAAGTAAATATGCCTGCAATTTGTTATATTGGAAACATAGAGAAACGTGCTGAAAAGCGTACACCCATTGTGTGATTAATTTAAAAATATATGAAAAATAGTATGTATTAAAAGAGTGCGGTGTATTCTTCGCACGTTCACGAAATGTAGTTAAAAGTTCTTATTAAAGAAAGTACTTTCCAAAAATAATAGCTCTGATTTGAAAAATAGGTGCCAAAACGGACCCCTACAAAAACTTATGAAACATAATATGGCAGTCTCTGATAGTTCGTTTCCTTGCTAAAAATAACCGAAACTTTCCTTACTCACCTTTCGACTTTGCTGCTTCATAGTCCGGCTTACACACCAGCTTCCTGTCTTCCATCAGATAGAACTCATCGCCGGTGTTCAGCTGCCTGCTGCACATGACGCAAGCGAAGCACTGCAAGTGGTAGACGTGCTCCTGAGCCCTGCGGACCACCTGCGTCGGGGGGATTCCCAGGTCGCAGCCGGCGCACTTGGTGCCGAAACGCCTGCACCCACAACACCATGGCGCAAACAACGCGCATGTTCTTAAGCATCGATTACATCGCGCAACAAATCTCTGGCGTTAAGGTTAGATCACACGATGATTATCGTTGCATCAGAAGTGGGATTGAACTATTGGCTACTCGGCGGATGGTGTAGAAATGCTTGTTAATTAATGTTATTAGGATCCTGGTGTCAAAATTGAGATTTAGTTTAGTTAAGTCGCAAAGCAAGTGCTTAGCTGCCTGTTAACATACGGTTGCTATCCAGGGTTTCCAGGTTCACCGACGATCATGTTGCCAGGCGGAATGCGAAAAATTGTCACGATCGCTAACCTTTTTATTTATATCGCCACATTTGACCCAGTGGTTAATAAAAATCACTACCTCAAATTTAAAAAAATATGTTTGATGTGTGGCAAAATTGGGACACCCTGTATAATTGTGAGTATCTTATAAATGTGCCCTACGATACCGTAGATGACCCATACATAGTTTTCTGTGATACATTCTTATTTAGGAGCGATACTCCATTTTCGCATTACGACATCAGAAGTGGGATTGAACTATTGGCTATTCGGCGAATACTGTAGAAATGCATATTAATTATTGTTATTAGGATCGTGGTGTAAAAATTCAGATTTAGTTTAGTTAAATCGCAAAGCAAGTGCTTTGCTGCCTGTTAACACACGGTTGCTATCCAGGGTTTCCAGGTTCAGCGACGATCACGTTGCCAGGCGGAATGCGAAAAATCCTACAATCGGTAATCTTTTAATTTATATCGCTATATTTGGCCTAGTGTGTAATAAAAAGCACTACCTCTCATTTAAAAAAATATTTTTGATGTGTGGCAAAATTGGGACACCCTGTATAATTGTGAGTATCTTATAAATGTGCCCTACGATACCGTAGATGACCCATACATAGTTTTCTGTGATACATTCTTATTTAGGAGCGATACTCCATTTTCGCATTACGACATCAGAAGTGGGATTGAACTATTGGCTATTCGGCGAATACTGTAGAAATGCATATTAATTATTGTTATTAGGATCGTGGTATCAAAATTCAGATTTAGTTTAGTTAAATCGCAAAGCAAGTGCTTTGCTGCCTGTTAACACACGGTTGCTATCCAGGGTTTCCAGGTTCAGCGACGATTACGTTGTCAGGCGAAATGAGAAAAATCGTCACAATCGCGAACCTGTTGGTTTATATCACCATATTTGTTCGAGCGTGCGATAAAAAGCACCATATCTCATTTTAAAAGAACATGTTTGATCTGGGGCAAAATTGTGAGTATCTTATAAATGTGCCGTAGGATACCGTGGATGACCCATAGATAGTTTTCTGTGATACATTCTTATTTAGGAGCAATACTCCATTTTCGCATGATGGCATCAGAAGTGGGATTGAACTATTGGCTATTCGGCGAATGGTGTAGAAATGCATATTAATAAATGTTATTTGGATCGTGGTGTCAAAATACAGATTTAGTTTAGTTAAGTCGCAAAGCAAGTACTTAGCTGCCTGTTAACATACGGTTGCTATCCAGGGTTTCCAGGTTCAGCGACGATCACGTTGCCAGGCGGAATGCGAAAAATCGTCACAGTCGCTAACCTTTTGATTTATATCGGCATATTTGGCCGAGTGTGTAATTAAAAGCACTACCTCTCATTCAAAAAAAATATTTTTCATGTGTGGCAAAATTGGGAAACCCTGTATAATAAAAGATACTTACATCTTATAAATGTGCCCTTCGATGCCGTGGATGACCCATGCATAGTTTTTTGTGATACATGCTTATTTAGGAGCATTTTCGCATGATGGCATCAGAAGTGGGATTGAACTATTGGCTATTCGGTGAATGGGGTAGAAATGCATATTAAGCAATGTTATTAGGATCGTGGTGTTAAAATGGTGCCTGTTAACGTAGGTTGCTATCCAGGGTTTCCATGTTCACCGACGATCATGTTGCCAGGCGGAATGAGAAAAATCGTCACAATCGCGAACCTTTTGATTTCTATCGCCATGTTAGTTCGAGTGTGTAATAAAAAGACTACCTCTCATTTTAAAAAAAATATTTTTGATCTGGTGCAAAATTGGGACACCCTGTATAATTGTGAGTATCTTATAAATGTGATACATTCTTATATAGTAGAAATACTCCATTTTCGTATAACACCTTGCATATAATGGAAACGACTTCGTAGGATTGATGACAGCCCAATTGAAGTTTTGGTCGCGACGCTCTGGAGAGCTTGTTCTCAAAGTTTGAGCAGGATTCAACAGGGGCTGATGACCATAAGGTTTGAAAATATAAAATTATTTGAGGGGGTCATTGTGCAAATATTCCACGATACTAAAAAACGAACTTATTTTTATCAGTTCTTTTTGTTGGCCTATATAAGTTTTAAATTGAACTAACTCATTTACAATCATTTCAAAAACATATTACAGAAACTTTGTCAAATAACCATCGCTCGGTGAAGTAACCTTATCGCCAGCTAAACAACACTATCTCTATTCATGCAACTGTTAGTAGAAAAACGTTTGCTGGGTCTTAGACTGCCCACTTATTTTTAACCTCTAGTAAATACTTCGATAAATATACAATGAGCAACTATATCGAACAATTAGAGATTCACTTTAAGGCTTCCCACAATAAGTGGTTGATTGACTACTCAACAGGAAATTAAGTTGGAGGTTCTTATATGGCTGCATCGCCTTTCATTTAATTTTGTCTTTTTATAGATGTGTGACTGAAGAAACATTGACACTTAGGTGGGTTGCTTTCTATGCTCCGCCCTTAATCTTTTTGCCGAAGCTTTTTTAAGAATATTGTTAAGAGTGAAACAAGTGCTCATACAAGGCTGCATCAAAAAGCTTTTAGACCAGCGCTGTAACTGTAGCTGTAACTTATGAATGTCTGGTGAGGTGGCCGAAGATGAGACGGCGCATTGCAATTGCAGAATTAAACAAGGTACAAAGACTTGCTTGCGTGGCGATAACAGGTGCAAAGAATTGCAGCACTCGAGACCATGCTGGATCACATCTGTACATGTTAGTGTGCCATTATGCCACTAGGAGGCGCATGCGCAATGCGCAGTTAGCGCAACTTGCCTGCCTCAATCCAGTCGGCCTCAAGATTTTGTGTTGAGAAGAATGTTTTTCATATGCTTGTGCATCGCGAAGCGTGCTTAAGTTTTTAAGCGTTATACAGTGTAGTGTGAGTTGCGAAATGCGGGGAGGCGATGACGAGCTACCGTGGACTACAGCTACAGCCAAAGGGAAGATATGAGAAGTGACAGAAGACATGTGGGAAGTGACATACACGATGCGAGGAAGGACCACATTGTTCCCGGATTTGTGTTAGCAAAGAACGTCGAGATCAAAATAGGGGATCGAACCAAAGGCACAAACTGCAAGGGGAAATTACTTGGTATGCTGACGGGTCGAAAACTGAGCAGGGAACAGACGCAGGTATACAGGGTGGCCAAATACTCTCTTGGTATATTTTTGGGAAAAACGTCAATTTTGATTTCTAGGCAAGGGAAAGCATTCGATGTCCAGACAAGACTGCGGAAGTGCTGTCAATAAATTGAAACCAACTCCGTGTAGTTACAGGATACAATGGCCTGAAAGAACACCTGAGAAAAATATAGACCGTAGACAACGCGGAAAAGGAATTGAATCAGCCCTACCTCTTCTATGTGAGTGCGAAACTAAAACCGAGGGAGTTTGGAACAGAACCGACAGGAAAACTGTACGAACT